AAAAGAACTTCGAGAGAACAAAGAGATCTTGGTAACTAGACCTGACAAAGGAACAGGCGTCATCATAATGAACAGATCGGGCTACGTAGCGAAGCTACAGTCCATACTATCTGACCAAAAGAAATTCAGAAAGGCAGATAAAGAAAAGGAGTGCATGGATGACGCAGAGGCGAAATTGACTGACTGTTTAAGAAGGCTCCACACAGGAGGTCACATAAGTGACCATGACTTCGAACACCGGCCAGTCGGCACACATATTCCTCGATTATATGGCTTACCTAAAATCCATAAGGAAGGCCTACCGGTTCGCCCGATTTTTGATATGCGGAACTCTCCGTATCATACGATAGCTAAGTGGTTAGCTGAGAAACTCAAGCCCATACAACATCAGCTGGCACCACGCAGCTATCGAGATACCTTTCAATTCATTGACGACATTAAAGACCTCAACCTTGACGGCATGATGATGTTCTCACTAGACGTCGCATTACTTTTTACAAACGTCCCGGTCACCGAGACAGTTGATTACATCTGTGATTTTCTATCTGCCAGTCATCAAGAAATGGGACTACCGACAAAAACACTCAAGGAACTATTACAAAGATGCACATTAAATGTGCAGTTCCCTTTTGACAACCAACTCTATAGACAAATAGACGGCGTTGCCATGGGCTCGCCTCTTGGACCTCTCTTAACCGACGTCTTCATGGGCAAGCTGGAGAGATTTCAACTAAGCGATCAGATCAAAAAGCTTACACATTATGGTCGCTACGTTGATGACATCTTTGCGATTGCAACTACAGAAACCGACGTCGCTGCCCTCCTAAATGCTGCAAATCAGGCACATCCGTCGATCAAATTCACGTTGGAGATGGAATCGGCTGGTTCGCTTCCTTTCTTAGATGTCCTTCTAAAGAGGAAATCCGACGGTAGCATCCGAAGGAGCGCCTATCGGAAGAAAACCTGGTCTGGACAATACACGAACTTCGCTAGTTTCGTACCTCTCCAACAAAAACGGAATCTAGTCAGGTGTTTGGCACAAAGAGCTGGAAAATTTTGTTCAACAGATAGTATCGAGGAGGAACTTGGAAAAATCCAGCACTTGCTTCGCGAAAATGGGTATCCTGACAGGTTCATTGCAAAGAACCTTGCCGAACGACCCGCAAAACCCACCACACCAACCGCCGAAAAGAAAACGTTGTTCCTCCAAGCCCCCTTCCAAGGAGACGCTGCAGGTGAACTCCTAAGAAGACGCCTTGACCAAGCTGTTTCGTGAACCTTCCCAGCAGCAAGGGTTCGCATATCATTCTCGACTAACCCTACTCTACGCGGAGAAGGCAATGATAGGCTGCCACTTCAGACCGCCTCAATGTGCAGCTACTTTTCGTTGTCGAAGCGCGGGGCTCGACTGCTGCGACTGGTAGCGTGGGGCCACTGCGTTAAATTTCGATGGCCGAATTTTCTTTCCAGTCGTTTCCTGTTTTAACAGGGCAACTTCCGAGCAAACAGAGCAGAAATGCAATTAGGCTCGGCATGCACAAGGTGGGTGAGCTGTTCCACTAGTTAGAAGGAAACCCCCGGCAGGACTGAAAACTAGGTTTCTAACAGCATAACACTACCGACAAAGACAAGGGAGACTGGAATGGCCATTTCTAGCTTATGAGCCGTCATCAGTCAACCGTACCCAACCCCGGGGCATGCTACCACCGAGGCTCGAACTCATGGCTATTTTGGTTAAAACCACGGACTATTTGTCCTGTCTGATGCGATCGGGGACATAAACAATGGTAGAGGGGTTCGCACCGATCGCGTCACGGAACACACTCGTCCCGCTGTACCTTGAAGCTCTCTCGGTCCCGTTAGCAGCAGGGCAGCGGCGTATTATGCAAGGAGAATAGTATTATCGACCAAGACAAAAGAGTTCGGAATGGCCATTTCGGTCTTGTTGGCCGTCATCAGCCAGCCAGACCCAACCCCGGACTCGAACTCGTAGCCTGCCGGCTTGAAGTCCATTGTAAAAATACGCAACTGACAGACGAGCCCCTGCCTCAATAATTAGAACGTTGAACTTCCAACCAACAGGTCACGGGTTCGAGCCTCGGCAGTTACATACCTCGGGGTTGGATAGGGGCGGCTGATTACGGCCAATAAGCCAGAAATGACCCTTCCAGTTCCCCTTGTCTTTGTCGGTAATAGTATTCTGCCTATATCATGCGCCGCTGTGCGGCTGCTGGTTGGGTTCATGAGAGCCCCTAAGACACAAGGGAACGAGTGAGTTCCGTAAGAACGATCGGTGTTGTTCACAAAGGCTGCAGGAACATATTCCAAATCCAACACGCATAGACGTCCACATTTTCAGACTGCATTTCTTGCCCAGTCCCGAGTCGTTAAAGTGTCAAGTCCTGCCGTAGTACCATGGTCATCATGATTAAATTCTGAACCACATCAACAGAGGTAAGGCCGAATGCTTTTGCCGACAAAGACAAAGGGAGACTTAAAATGGTCATTTCTGCCTTATTAGCCGTCGTCAGCCAGTCATATCCAACCCCAGATGTGTGGAACACCTGGAGCTCAGACTTGCTACCCGTTAGTTAGAAGTCCAACGCCTCTAACCACTGAGCCACGGGCTCTTGGTACTGTCGGTTTCCATCGGGACTGTACAATGGCAGGGGTGCTCACCGATCGTTCTTACGGAACTCCCTCTTTCCGTTGTGCATTACGGGCTATCTCTCTCGAGCCCTTGTCTTTGTCGGTAATAGCATTCTGCCTATATCATGCGCCATAAGTTCTGGCATAATGGTATTACCGACAAAGACAAAAGAGACTGGAATGGCCATTTCTGGCTTATTAGACGTCGTCAACCAACCTCGAAGAGTGGAACACCTGGGGGCCGATCCCGCGGCCTGTTAGGTAGAAGTCCAACGGGACGTGTGAGCGCCCCTCTACCGTCGTAAATTTCCGATCGCAACCGAGACTTCTAATTAACAGGTCGCGGGATCGAACCCCAGGTGTTCCACACTTCGGGGTTGAGTATGGCCGGCTGATTACGGCTAATAAACCAGAAATGACCGTTCTACTCCCCCTTGTCTTTGTCGACAATGCTATCCTGCTTATATAATGCCCCGCTGCGCGGCTGCTGGCGGGGATCTAAAGAGAGCCCCAAAGTAAAACAGAACGAGTGAGTCCCATAACGCGATCGGTGCACGCCCCTCTAACATAGATTTCGGGCACCGCACCACATGGTTCTGTCTAATGAGCTCACGCCATACTGAGCAGTGGTCATGCATGGACCGATCGAATGGCATCGTGCCGGTGGATAAACAACATAGAAACCGTAGTCCTAACAGTGCCAGGAATAATCCGGAGACTTTCAGGACCGCAGTGAGCACACATTGATGATTGGCTTCGCCGAGTAATAGAACCCAACTACCCCTAACTGAACAGTGTGACCTCAGTTCTGGGCAGATACGGAGGCGTGATTCTCACCACCGCCTCGGAATCTCACTCAGCCGCGAGTAAAGAGCATCTTGCTGGGCGTAACTTTACACGACGCCGAGGTGTGGTGAATATCCCCGCACAAACAGGCCAGCAATGCCAACAGACTTCCATAAAGCGGACGAGATCCTAGGTTCCCGTTCGATCATCCCCTGGCAATGAAACCGACAGGATGGCCTCCAAGGCGGAAAATACGTTCCAGATCCCTGTACTACTCCAAAACCTCATCCTCCACGGCTGAAGTGCGTAGACTGTAGTCCATCTCAGGGTCAGGGGATGGTCTCTGTCGTAAGCGTGGACTCGTGTGGTATTCTACAATGCCGGGGAGAAACTAGCCTTGATGGTTCTATGCGTTTATGCACGCAAACTCATACTTAAGGCACGCTTATCTGAAAACGAGCATTCCAGTTCCCTCCTGCCTTCAAGCCCTTCGTTTATTAAGTGTCCATCACTGTGTGATCGCTCGAGGACGATCTGATCTGGCACTCAGTGGACGAGAGGAACGTCCGAGCGCGCTTGGTGTCGGCCAGGACAAACCCGATTTCAAGTTCTAGACGCTAGTCGCGTCGACCAGGTTTCAGAAAGCCTGTGACGGGAAGCAGAAAAGCAAATGATAATCCCCACCGAGGGGTAATAAACCGAATTCTCTTGAGTCGAAGTTGTAAAGATTAACGTGCGTAAGTTAAGCAGTTAACACGATAGCAACAAACTGGAAATGAACGGTGCCCCTCGCGTCTCACTGTGTCATCACAAAACAGTCGTGCCAACTCGCGGTAGGCGAATTTAGGCCCAGAAATGCTTGTGAAGTGAGGGTGGAGAGGGGGCAACTTCTCTCTCTCCGTTTCCCTGCCCTCAGATGAGTGCTCAATCGATAGACGGGTCAGGTGCGTGCGCCTCCCCCACTTCAAAAAATTTGACGTGGTTGAATATAACACGATGGAAAGTTGGTCACAGCCTGCAAGGTTGTCAACTGACCCGGAAACCCGGCCCTCCACAGGAATGAAAGTCAGACCGCGATCGCTCCTTCTTAGTGCGACCTCTACAGCACACTCGCCCATGCGGAATCCGAGCCGCCCTAGTTGTAGAACATCACATACGAGGTCGTGCGCGTGACACGAGTAGACGGGCTGCTTGACTTTGTTAACCGCCGCAGTTGTATCCACATCCGGCTGTCTTACCACCGTAAAACGGGGGAAATGAGAAAAGACGGGGCGTAAGTCCGCTGCATTATAAACAGCTTTACGCGTAGGTTACCGCTGACCGGATCGACTCCGTGAGGCGGGGTGAACCAAGGCGTCGCTTGCGACCGTCAAGCTACCATGTGCCGTATTGGCCCCCTGTTCGCGTAATATACTCCTCTTCACCGCCAGCAGACAGATTCGAGGACAGAGAGAGTCCGATTCTTTAACGAAACTTTCATATAAATACACAGTGGAAGGTGGGGGGGTTGATGAAACAAGGGTCAGGAAGGGGGGGTGGTGGGGGTTCATGACACAAGCTCCTTCTCAGTCATCCTCGTCATTTTTAAGGCTGCCGAAGACGGCGGCTGGCACATGTTGCTTTTCGATGAGGAGTCCTGCGAAATTTAAAGGAGACAGTGAGGTGCAAGAGGGCAATCATAAACTTTGAAACGCGAGAGGACACGCAATGTCAGTAAATGACAATCCCGCAATGGGCACACTTGTGCCTCCCTCTGCTAACTATTTCGCTTATTAGGAACGTCACTTCTGCCGGTTGTGACTCTTTGTTGTTGGGAAATTTCATGAAGACAGGGCAGTTCGTGAGTCCGCTCAGCCCAGGTGAACAAGAACTAACGGGCAGTAAAATAATCCGAACGGCGTACGAACGATAAATAACAGTTCAAATTGCCAAATTTTCAAGTGATCACATTTCGTCGAAATAGTCCAGAGAAATAATGCAGACGATGAGCGACCCTGAATGTTCCTTACGATGCACACTGCATGCAAATAATTCACCTGATTAAATAAACGAATATGGTGGGTATGTAGAGGAACTGGCAATCGATCGTAGTATTACAAAGAACAGGAGTGTGACGGTCAGCAAATCACTGTAGACCCAGGAGGCACACGAAGTGTCATGAAAGTCCCACTTGAACTATCGAAAGCCTTGTATTTCCTGTAGACTCCTAAAGGCGGAAGATAAAGGAGTCTTCTGGCTCCACTTTAATCCCCTATCTGTGCAAATTCTATTCTAACGCGACAACACCGAAGTGGCATTGCAGACGGCGGAAAAACGAAGATATAAACAGCATAGGCAACAAACCAACACTGCGGACAAAAAACGTACTTGAAGTGGTCCCATTGATACCCTCCTCGTTTTCAACTATGACTTCAGCCTCTTCGTGGGCGCCATCTCCCAGCGCACTTTCCTCTTCGCCTTGACCAGCCTCTTCCTCCTCATCGTCCTCCATTGGGAGATCAATGTTGATGGCTTCAGGATTTTGTGAGACCTCAGTTTTGGCTGCCGCCTTAGTGGTGCCCGGAAGCGTTTCCGGCTGTCGAATGCCTGCTGACTTGAAGATGATCATGGGTTTGCCGCTGGCCGTTGCCGACCCCTCAGCGGCAGCCTCCGATTCCACGGTCTGCATAGCGTCTGCCGCTAATGAAAAATATTGTCCGAATTAGATTGCCTACTCACAAATATATAGTAAGCTATGATTCTGGGCTTAAATGGCCAACTTACGCTGCATTTCCTCTGCAGCCAGGTGACTCGCCATGAAGCTGACTTTGGTGTTGTAGGTAGCCTGTACACTACGTCTGATGCGGAGCATTTCGCGCAGAGTATCCTCATTGCCGTGCGCAACTTCGAATTCCTTCCAAATCTTCCAAAACTCGGGTTCAGCCTGCAAGGGCAATAAAGGCGCATTTCAAACGCCCCATCTGAAGGCATGACAAGTCGACCGGAAACGCAACGCAAACTCACTCTGGGATCACACATTTGTGCATTGTAGGCGTAGATTGCGCGAGCGCGATCGATCTCGCCCAGCTTTCGTTCCAGATCAGCAAAGCGGAGGCACATTTGCCGTGCATGTTTCTCAGGCAGTCGTTCGATTGCCTGTTCATAGGCCGCACGGGTATGGGTAACGCCGTGGAGGTCAGCGATTCGTTGGATGTAAATGTTGAACATCTGAAAAGGGAGGACAGTAATTGCAGTAGGATGATAGACTGCAGAATGCGAATGGCCCAGCGTTGCACAGAAAACGTACAGTAAAGCGCTCATCCGGCTCAACCGCCTCCGTTGCGCGCTCATAGATGCGAATGGCCCGGCGGGCGAGACCATGCTCTTCTTCCAGCCTCGCATACAAAAGGTACAGACCTGGAGTTTAAGACGGTTTGTTCAGTGCATTAAACAAGGCATGGCTTTAGTGGCTAAGCAGACTACTTAAGAGTAACGAGAAAGGGCATAAATGTAGTGGCTGCAAAATGGGGAAAAAACGTACTTTTAGCATACTTGGAGGGACACTTCTCGAGACACTGCTCAAACAGATCTCGAGCACGCTCAAGTTTGCTGCCACCCTAGGGGGAGAGAAGCAAGCACATTTGATTCATGAGCGAATGAAGCTACAAGAAACGTTAACACATTTGCGATTTAGTCGTACTTCATTAGAGTGTTATACATTTGAGTGCGTATTCTGGGGCGCTAACATTGATACGGGCCTAGAGACTAAGATTTTTTATAGTAGTAACAGGTATGTGTCCATTTCATTTGCATGAAGGTTGGACAAAAGCTCAGTAAAGGGAATCACCGCATTCCCTCGTCTGAAAAAAAGAAGGAAACTGGTGCACCAAGATAATGAAAGCAACGTACGTAGCGTTCTATGAACTTGGTGAGATACGTAACCCATATATCGTACACATTTGGCCAGCGGAAGACTGCAACGCCCTTTTCATACGCCTGAAAGAGCACGGTAGGTGAGTCGAAAAAGTATTAAAGTAAACGTCTACTTAAGTAAACGTCAGTAGCATGTTAAAGCAAAATTGGAAGACCTGTGGTCCTACCTTGAAAGCCTCCTCATAATAGTCGCGCTCCTCAAGGAAAAGGCCGTAATTTATGATTATTTGCGGTGTGGCGATGCGATAGTCAATCATCCTGTCGTAAGCGGCCTGAAAAAGAAAAAGGAAGGCACTTGAGGCCGGCCGGCAAAAGTTTTTGGGCAGAAAGGTCACTCGTAAGGGTGTCCTCCATACTACTCACCTTGGTGGTTTGGAAGGTGCCAAAACTTTCCTCTAGGTCGGTATACAGGGTCCACAGGCGAAGGGACTTGTGCAGGCGATTCTGCACTGGCTCTGAGCGGTCGTAGTAGTCAACTTTGTGCGTGGCGGTAGGAGTGGCAGCGCGGGCCAACAGCTGAAGCGCAGTCTCGGGAGAACTGGAACGAGAAAAAGAAAAGTTCACAAGTTAGGCACTACTGAAAGCACAAACAGCGACTTCATCCCAACGCTATGTTTGCAGACCAGTCGAGAGAAAAAGTCCTCGCCTCAGCGTTTTTTAAAAAAAGTTTCACGCAACGACTCTCTTGTTTCCACAAGATACCCTCCCTCTACTTGAAGGAGGGGAGCGGAAACAACACATTAAGTCATTTTCTAAATTTCTCGTGGACTGAAACAATGGTAGAAATATTTCAACAGGTTTTATATTAAAGTAATTGGTAAGGAGGAATAAGGCGCGTCCGAATATATAATCGAAGAAGCAAGGCTCTGATACTAACATTTTGGAACAAAGACAACGATGAAAGGATGATACCATTGTTGGATGCTAGATCAACGCATAAGGCGCTTTCTATGGATCCTTCTAAGGGACAGATTTCATCTACTGGTAAAGTGTTGAAGAAGCACCTGTTAGGAGCTGTTGCCAAATCCCCGAGACAAACTGAATCGACCATCGCTAAGGTCTATGAGCTATCTAAAGTTCACAAAACTGGAGTCCCGCTGCGACCGATATTACCATTAATCGGTGCGCCCAACTAGACAACTTTCTACGTGCCTATTTCACGAGCTTCGTCAACTTACGAACAATGCGAAACTTCAACTGAGGACTCAACAAAGCCTCTGGTTTTCTCGCTGAAATAACAATGCAGAAACTAGAGGCTAAGACCCTGAATTGTAGCTACGATGTGTAGACGGCACATTTGTCGTCGTTGAAATGGACCAACTGAAGGCGCTCCACAAAATTACCAATTCAACAATTCTTGAGATTAGATTCATACTTAAAAAGGAGGTTGGCAGTAAGTTCTCGTTTCCGGATGCTCTCATACAGCGAAGGACTGACGGAACATTACGTACATCTGTTTACCGAAAAGAAACTTTTGCGGAAGTCATTTTACCTTGTGACAGCAAGTAGTCCATCTTTCAAAAATGGAGTGCTGTCAATAGTCCGCGCCTAGTTGTGTAAAAAAACATTGGTCTGACGAAGAAGGCCATCAAGCCGACAATTTTACGCACTTGGCTTGTACACCTTAAGGATAAGGTTGGCTATTTGGATAGGAAGGAAGTCATCTACAAGATCCCAAGTGATGCCTTTGATACCGATCATTGCGGTCAGACTGGCAAACGCGCCCCTACACGCCTTCGGGAACATCAATTAGCAGTAAAGAGGCGAGAACACCTGTCTCAAGTAGCTACGCACGCCTTGAACACCGGGTACACCCTCGTTTGGAACAAGCCTTGCACTGTCATTGTCTGCCCTTTCAATAAAGTTCCTCGAGGACATGCACTCAGATGAATCATGCATCAACAGGCATCTTGATTTGGATGACACGTACAGAAATCTCAGGGAACAACGGAAGAGACGAGAGCCAATCAGAACAGACTGACACACGCAGCGGCCGCTTACTGGCACGAACGATAAGGGATTGTCGGTTTTTTTAAAGCGCACTTATGATGTTAACTGTTTTGGGAAAATTTGTTCTCCGTCTGTGTCTGGTGACGACCCGGGAAACCGGCGTCGAAAAGTTGCACAATATTTTGAAAATATTGCACAATATTTTCCAATTTCAAGAGGCCGAAATCCTCGCAAGGGGTGACAACCGCGTGAGCCGCGAGCTGTTCGAGTCATGGTTCTCAGGCCCGCAATCCATCAACAAGCACAATGACCTCCCGGTACCCTATAGCGTACTGCGATTTTCCATGGACAGGAGAATCAGTCACGTGGGGAGGGCGCAGGCGAGCAATCATCACGGTGACAGTGAGCCAGTTTGCCGAGCAATCGTCACACCAGCATCCAGAACGGATGACGAAACCGCGGCAATTAACGACTCGGACTCGGACCGCCAAGCCACCGCCGCATCAATTACGACCCCAGCGGCGATTGCGAGAACTGTTAATTGCAGTGCGCATACGGTCCACGGCAGCCACGTGCTATAAATACTGCGCTCCTGGTGCCATCATCACCTGTATCTGCGACTGTCTCTGATGATGGATTCGAGTGAGGATCCGAAACGTCAGGCAAATAAATTTCTTGTTCCAGTGATCTTCTGAACTGCTACCTGGAACTCACCTGTTCGCTTCTATCAGCAAACTTTCTTTTCCCAAAGAACATATTTGCCAACCTTCCAATACACACATGACACACATTGGCCGCTTACTGACGCAAACACCAAGGCAGTATCGATATTTTGAACCTATGGCAGGATCTTCTTAAGTAGCTCATTCGCGAGGGATGCGACGAAGAACCGGCGCAGACTTGGACAGGGGCGCGATTGGGTCTACCAATATCTCTGATTTTGCTGGACCCTCAAAAGCAGCCATGTTGGTAAGATATGGTTATATGGCCCCACCTGATGGACACAATACAGCTGCGGTTGGGGTTACAGGTCAGGGGTTAGAGTTGGGGTAACTATTTCTCAAACACCCAGCTTAACCCCAACCCCTAACAGGTACGGCTACGAAAAAAGATCTTGCCGAGCGAACTATCGGTTAGATCGCAGTTGGTAGCCAGGAATGGAGAGGCGGACGGCAGGGTCCCTGTCTTACGGGAATGGTGGGAAAGGGGGTTATATGGGTGGGATAAATGGAAGTGCTGCTGGACGAATGCTGGAGTTTCGGGGAAAAATAAAGTAAACGAAAAAAGTGTTGGGAGGTTTTAGTAAGGTAGAGTAATGGCGGAAATTGAAAAAAATCCCCCGGAAAAGAGCACAGCCTGCGGAAAATGCAATAAGCAAATAGTGATAGGATAACCCTAACCTTAACCATTAAGCGTTAACCGGTAACCCTAACCCCGAAGCCGTACCCCAACCCTAAAGCCAGACCATAATCGTAAACCTAAACCCTAACACTGAAGCCGGACCCTATAACGCAAGTCCTAATCCGAAAACGTAACCTACGCCTAACCGTAACCCCGCACTTAACCCAACAGCCTGACCGAAACGGCCGACCTACTGATAACCAGTTCCCTAGGCAAGGTAAACACACCCACTGATAACAAGTAAGTACCTCGACAGTATCAACGTAGTGTCTGGTTACCAACTGCGATCTTACCGAACTATCGATCAAGTTAGAAGGGAATCAGCAAGGAGCAAACAGCGGTAGGACAGACTCACCCGGCACGCATCTCCATTTCGGCCCATTCGCACCAGATGGAAGCGAGATCCTCCACATGAATAAAGGCCACACCGGTCGCCTTTTGCAGGACCACTCTGGCATCGTCAAGCTGCTTGTGGCGTTCGTAGAGCCGGGCAAGTTCGATCCAGAGTGTGGACGGTCTGCCTGCAGTGGCCTTGGCTAGAGGTGAGGGAAGGAGGAGTCATTAGTCAAGAGGCAAGCTGAGTGGACATTACTGGCCTCTTCCTAAAAACTGTCCAATGACGAATCCGACCGTGCCACTGCCTTTGTTGCGATTGTCGGTGTTCTTAACGTAAATTTCGGTCAGAGCCAAATGGGTCCCGCTCGCTATCCGGCTGCTTATTTTTGAGGACCGAATGATTAGAACCGACTGTTTAGCATGTTGATTCGGTGAAGCGGATGTATTAACTTTTGCTTTTGCGACTCCGATAAAGTGGATAAACTGTGGCCGAAATAGAGTATTTACCTATGCCAGCTATGAACTCGTCTAGGTGCGGACTAGTACAACTATGTTTTTCCGTCATACAGAATGAATGTCCATTGGCAAAGGAGCGCTCACCGATCGCGTTACGGAACCCACTTGTCCCATTGTGCCTTGGGACTCTATCACGAGTCCCTCCAGCAGCCGACAAGGACAAGGGAGACTGGATTAATCATCTCCGGCTTATCAGCCGTCTTCGGCCAATCACACTCGTCCAAGTGTGCATTGAGGATCTCTCTTTCTTTTTTGAGATACGCCAGCAGCCGTACAGCGGCGCGTAATCTAGGCAAAATAGCATAGTCGACAAAAGCAAGGAAGGCTGGAACGGCCCGTTTTGATTTGTTAGCCAATATTACGCGTCGAAAGAAGATTCCACAAGACACTGGTACCCCACCGGAATTAAAGTTGTCCTTGCGACAAATTCCAGAGGGGGGTAGTGTTAAAGTTGGGACGCGGGAATAGGTATCCCGTGGAATTTAGCGCAAGACCAACTGTGGTACGGGGAACGCACTTCCGTGTCTAACCGAAAATTCCTACAGAAGGACGTATTGTAAAGAGTAAAACTGGTGGGAGGGGGGGGGGTTGGAGACCTACCTGGATCAACAGAGCTGATGCCCTCCATAAAGGCTTCGATTTGTTTCCGGGGACCCTTTGACTCCAGCAACTCCACACGCTGCAGCCAATCACTAACATTGTGGGGGTTCTGTCGAAGCAGCACACTATTCAGAAGCAGAGGTCGTTTCTCCATCAGAGACTCCAGACTAGCGAGGGTCAGTTCAACTTCCAGTTCGTCTAAAATAATACAGAGTAGTCGCAGCGTGAGAATGATCTCAAACTGAAGTCAAGCAGCTAGGATGCCCAGGGAGCAGCAGTTTTTGTTTTCTACGAAAGGCCCAACTCACCATCTGATGTGAAGTAGTTGGCGTGACTCAATCTGCGACACATACTACGGCCAAATGAGTTTCATGTCTCGGCCGCAGGCGTGCGTCACTTTCAGACCTTACACAGTGCGCTCAAACAGACCTTACAGATACTCACCTCTCTATCTACAGAATACGACATTAGTAAGAAAGCGAATCACTAAACAGAGGATGACGGATGTATTCGTTAGTCTAATTGCTGGCGCCCGTGTGTGGCGAACACTGGAGAGGTCGGGCAGCAAGAGCTGAAGTCTGACACATCCACACTGCCTATTAAATTCCCAAAATCCGACGACGGCACTGTAACATGAAAAGAAACGCCGTAAAATAAGCTGGCACCGACCCCTGTGACCTGTAGTAGAGACAGTATGAAATGCACACAATTCGGGCAGCTGTTTGGTACCCACCATAATTCAGAATCCCCAAGTAGATGTCCGAACGTCCTGTTACGGTATCTGCGAGAACCACACGGCGCCTTGTGACCTCTACTCAGCGGCGCGGGCAAACAGCGTGCGAGTTGGACCACTAAATAGGACATTGGGATGCTGAAATGTGTCCAAAGTCTGGTGGAGCGTCTTGTTCCTCGGTACAACGTGGATGCCCGCTGTTTGTCCGACAGCCAAATCCACGATCCATGAAAGACAAGGTCTCGAGTGTCAGTTCCTACCGAACCACGGCGGTCCGTGCGCTCAAGCAACAAGCGAATCACGCACTGTATTATATGGAAACCAGTCGACAACCATATGACGGCGCTCCTCACTGACATCTCTGTCGTTTCTGTCTAAGCGCGAACATCAACTGTCCACCAGCGCATCAAATAAACCTATTCGCGGCTGCAGGCACTAATTGAAACACCTCCAGCCGTGATCTGCCGACTGTTGCCGATGACTGGAATGGTCCAATTAGGCTGGGCGATTCTTCAAACAGCCAACTTATTGAGAGCCTTCGGTCTGGTTCCAGATGGGGCAATGATGATGGAATGTTGAGCTTCACTGAGCACAACCGTCTGCAAGCACTTCATTAAGCGATATTAAAAAGACAATTGCGGCCAGTCAGGTTGGCTACGGTCTAGTTAGCTCCAGATTTTGTAGTTGGGTCCACGATGGTGGGCAAACACGTCGTTCGAAAGCTATAAACGGCAAAAGGGTTGAATCATTCTTTGTCCGCAAGTACCTAAATGATCATCTCTCATCCGTGCCCAAAAGAAGTCACGGCAGCCAAGATACAGAACACAACATTTTAGTCCGTGTTGAAGGAAGCAGCAGCAACAGTACTACGACGACTGAATCAACGCAAGAACCCTGCAACTGTCCACTCAGACGTCTGCAGTTGGATTACGCAATGACTACTCCTTCCGTTAACTCCGGAGAATGACGACATCGTTGCAAAACTGTTTGGCCGAAAGGGCGGTGACACACGGAAACTACCAAATTATTGTCCCGCACCTGGTAACCTTGCTTGCGATGCAAACGGCAATTTTGTTGATGATAATTTGACCCAAGTCGATAATAGCCTAGCACCAACCCCCTCTCTCCATCCTATGCGCTGTTGTGTGAAAAAATGTCCGCCACGATACGGAGACTGTGCGATAACGATGCACCCGGGGAGGAGAGCATTCCTGCCGAACTCTGCCAGCTTTGTATCGACACTCTGAGAGAGAGAGGGAGGGAGAGAGAGAGAGATAATAAGAAGCGCGAGAAGTACAGCAACACAAACCTCGTCGACATCGTTAGAAAGGTCCCTACACCGTCGTCCAAGGATAGTTTCAAAGTGCGCAGGACTAGAGGTCAGGGCACAACCAAACCGGACGCACCGGCGCAGTTTCCAACTACTCCATCGCTACAAGAAATCTATTGTTACCTTTTTTAGTGAGCTCGTTGCAGCGTTAGATTCTGTTGCTTGTCCATGAGATAAAAGAGCTGGCAAAACGTATCACAGTGGTCAAGGGCTACTATCACTCCACCACAGTGGAAGTTTTTGTCAACAACAATCTGTCCAAACTGTCAGATATTCCGCTCGATGTCTCTACGAAGCGACGTCTTGTCGCTTATTATGCTTAATTAGGTGGTTCACTGGATTTTCGTGAGCGTTTTGCGCGACAGTCTGCGTTGCTATCAACCAGACCGATTTCGTTCATAAATTTTCAAAGCTTTCGAGGGTGTCTATAGTCTGGTCGCGATATCCCCACCGACACTGGTAATGCCCGTGGGTTTGACTATGTTCTCATTTGCAAACGCCCGAAAGTGCATCCCTTATCTGTACCTAAAATGCCACATGCGAGACGCCTTGAGGTAATAAAACTTTGACAACCCAGCAATGTCGAGGCCGTGAGCACAGAAATCCGGTCTCATTTGACGACTCAAACCGACGTAGAAAGCAGTGGCCAAATGGTCATCATTGAAGTCAACAATCCAAGAGGCATCTGACAAAATTCTCGGACTCATCCGGCAGCGCCACAGTGGCCGGATTGGCGGAAGAACTCTGCATTTGTCCGTCCAGACGGCTCAAGCCGTGCTCCCTACCGCAAACTGCCGGACAATGACACCAAAGTCGGCCGGGGATGACCGCCAGAAGTATTGGGCTGAAACAGCGACCTCCATGGAGCAGGCCTTAAACGTTGGTGGCAATCGGCCAATTTACCAAATTATCCGCCGTGCTAGTGGTAGGCCCTCGACACTGAGAATCTGTTCGCGCTGCGAACGGCTGCTTTATTGCTGCCAATTCTGCCAAGGTCGATCACTGGCGTCAGCACCTCAAGCATCTCCACAGCATTGATGAGCAATTCATCAAACCCTCGTCCATCTGTAGCGCAGTTTTATCCCTCTTCAGCCTATTCAGTGTCCTGCAAACCACCTTCTGAGGAAGAAGTTATCGGCGCAATATAGAGGCTGCACAACAAGGTGCCCGATCTGGTGTTCGGAGGGGCCCTACACGGCTTTGACAGTGTTCAGTTTACCCCCCCCCCCCCGGAAGTCGGCTGACTAGTTTACACTGCACTAACGATATCGTCTTGCTGGCCTCAGCCTTTGGTGATATACAGTCTGTAATAACACGAGTGGATAAAGACGCTACTTCGGTTGGTTTATCTACAAAGGCTGGAAAAACCATTGTTATTGAGATGCATCCCTAATCAGGAGACGACACTCCTTGATGTTAATGGCTATCTACTTGGAGAAGCAGACAGTTTCAAATACTTGATAACTGACGTGGTGTGCATGCCTAGATGATATAATGAAAAAAGAGAGGGTTCTTCGAAAAATCGAGTTGCACTCGTGAACTTTCAACTTGGTAACACCAACCTGTCGTCAGACGAAATGTGCAGAGGGAAAGTGAGATTGGCAGGCTAGAGCAGTTGGCTTGACAGGACAGACAGCTCGTGCGTGAAAGAGGTGGACACCGAGTTATGATAAGCTTTGGGGCGGGAAGAGGGAACAGTTAGGGTTCCCTGTGCTAGAGGTGGAGGAGGAGCGGAGGAATTGCGGATCAGTGGGAATGCGGGCGGCTGGTCGTTGATGCGAGATAAGGTCAGGGGGCAGTGCGCCGGCGTTGATGTTAGAAGTTTCAGTGGTCTACAAATGAGCAGAACACCTCGAGAGCTGCGACAGGCAGCGGCACGCGTGTCTGGGCTTTTAGATTGTATTTGTGTTGTCAGTAAGGTATATGACTACACAATTTCGACTGTTGTTCTCCCTTCCCTCCCCCTGCCCCAAAGGTTACCATAACTCGGTGCCGACCACTTTCACGCAGCAGCTGTCAGTCTGTCCTGTCGCGCCAACTGATCTAGCCTGCCGACCCAACTTTCCATTCTGCTCATTTCGTCTGACGACGGTTTGATGTCACCAACTTGAAAATTCGCGCGTACAACTCGATTTTCCGAAGTCTTCTCAGTTTTTCAGTGCCAAATATCGCAGGGCGGGGCTGCTGCCAAATTGACAGAATAATCACGACACACGACATATACAGGCTTTCTAATTCCTTAGAAATTGCAAATGCACCCGACGCAACATCTCCATCGTCACGAATATTCACGAGCACCGTGCGTCCTTTCGATCAGTCCTCCTCCACGGTTGTGACTGTTGAACTTTGCGCTTGGAAGATGAGCGGAGACTGGAGGTATTTGACCATCCGAGTGAAGTAAACCGACTTTGTCTCAAATTAGACATTCCGCACTCGCTGTGATAGTATGACGAGGATATCTCATGCTATCCAGTAAAGATGACTGAGGTGGTTTGGATACGCTCTCCGTCTTCCACCTTACGACCTCTGTTATACTGCCATCGACTCGGCGCAGTTTCCACCTGATGGTGGCGATGAGGTAGTCAGTTCCAGACCTGACTCGGCATAGTTCGTCAGGACATGGGAGTGGTTCATGGACCTTCGGTACTCGGTATCCGTCGATGGGGAAGAGAATGCGTCAGGCTGTCCGGACCCGCTGCCGCAAATAGTCACGCGTGGAGAGGCACAATATGAGACATCGTCTAGGCCGGTTAGATCAGGCATAATCGCAGTCGTACCAAGTACAAGTAGTAAGATATCCCCACCGCCACAATAATCTGCGTGTGCGTACACCCGTCCGATCAGTCCTCCCCTGTGGCCCTTGAATAGGTTGTGCGTGCAGGTAGCCGAGAAATGGGTACGTTTGACCGGCGTTACCCGAGAACGTTCTTTCGGGAACTACATCGACCTAATAACGAAGGAAACAGTCCGCACTCGCTGCAACAAAACCGTAAGAATATCTTAGGCCATCCCGGAGAAATGACTGAGGTAGTTAGGGCACATGATCTATCATACTCCCAATGAGTTCAAAGTTGTTGCCCCAAATCAGATGTTGCTGCCTAACTGGAGATGATGACGCGATCGACTCTAAATCTGACTGGATACAATCCGTATGGAGGTGGAAACTGTTCCTGAGGCGGTGGTATCTGGTTTTCGCCGTTGGGAAAGAGTAAATCGAGTTTAAGAGACTTGCTGTCTTAAATTACGGATTTCGGTAAGCATTAGTGGCGCATGACTAAAGCCGTGGCAAGTGAAAGTGACAACTTAGGGACGGTTTTCACCAAGGTCGCATCTCCTGAACCACATGATGGCTGACTGTCTCACCGCCTCCCAGGTTATTCGTTCGTATGCCTCGAAAATCTTTCCATAAAACCCCAAAACCACGGTTGCTGACTAGCCTGTCCTCTAAGGCAAAGAATAGACATGGGCTTGGCTGGTGGATGAAAAGTCAAAACCCCAAACAGATTACCATTTGAGGGGGTGGTCAAGATGCGAACTTTCAGCAGGGCTGAGTTCACAGGGGTGGTAAGGAATACTAAATCCCAACACGGTGGCGCCTCAATCAGAACCAAAACTAGTCGAGACGAAAAGAATAAACAAATGTGAGGTGTGAAGAGGAGAGATTTAAGCTATGTGTTTATGCATTCTAACCTGACTCGCCTCACCCACTAATTAAAAATTATTCCAAATGTGGCGGACTGCCGCAAATATGAGATTCACAAGACTATCATATCGTAGGTTCAATAGTATGCAACATCAGAAGACAGTTTTTACTTAACCTATATGCGGACCATGAGGGGCTTGATCTATATGAGAATGTCCTAAACCTACATCAGTACTGACGTATGGTGCCCCGAAGCATTATGAAACCAAATAGATGACGTTTGAAAATCCCAAGGATACGTAAATATGAGATAGAAGCTATAGAGTACGTAAGAAAACATTGTTTTTCCACACATTCGGTAGAAAAACGTAGATTAGGATGCGTTCCTTTCCTCCCAGTGTCGTATGTTCTTTACTATCTCTACGTTACACTACACAGACAATTGATCGCATAAAACAATTATTACTTGATAATGGGATAGAAACTCGGGGAAACAACTAAGAAAGAATAAAAACCTTAGATTTCTAACATATGCGATAAGAATGGTAAAATACGATGGTAAATGCTTTCGTACCCTTTTCAGTGACCTCGCTCGACTTCTCGAGCGCCTCCATACGTGCCTTTGCTATTGACTCCTGAAACTCGGCGTAAGCGTCAAAGGTCTGACTGAAGTCGCGGACAGTGACGACTGTGTTAATGGCTTCAGTGTAGACATCGCACGCACGAGGAAGATTGCCACTGCGAATATAATAGTCTGCAAGAGATGTCCATAATATGCCAACCTACGAAAGCAGAGCAACGAAAAATGAGAAAAAGCGGATTCTACCTGATCGGTGTAGCGTCCAATACCCTGCCTAATGATGGCATCGGCATTCAGGGAAGTGATTTTTGTCGGATTCTTAACTAACAACTCGCATAGGGTCTGCCAGAGTTGGAACTTCGATCTTCCTTCTCTACTGATAAAGTTTTCATCATTGATGGCCTCGGCGAGTAGTACCGCGGCCTCGTTCACATTCTCGTTGCGAATGAGGAAGTTAATAAACCTTTCAACATCGTCCGGAGCGTACTACAAATATGTCGAGATCATGTGTACCTTACCTTAATATACCGGCGATAGATTCTGGTGCAGGATTCTTTAATATGATTCCCATGTTTGTCAGCAAATTTGAGATAGATTCGCCACACGCGTTCATGTTGTGTTACCGGCAGGGCTTTAAGAGCACGATCGAAAGTCCTTCGAGCAAGCGTTACGTATCCTTGATGCATTAGAAAGAGAAGGAAGTCCGTCCAAATGCGAGGCATCTTAAGATGGAGTTACGAACCGGTGTCAAATGTACTTTATGCATGGTGACGAGAGCACGCTCGTGAGCGTTGTTCGTTTCCTCGTATGCTAAACAGCCAGGACAAAGTCTACGCGCATGCTGGCGACGTAATTTGAGATAGTTGTACCAAAGTTTGTAGCTAACAATATTAACAGTTAAGGCCACACAAACCTTCCTGGAAGCTGCTTAAGAGCTCTTTCGTATGTAAGATAAATAACATGTGGGGGACTAGTCTTCTGAAATTGAATATATCGAAGCCAGGCCTTGACATTGAACGGATTCCGGATAAGGTTTTCTTCAAAGGGCAGATTCTCTTCAGGCTTAAAAACATGAAATTTACCAATGAGAACTTACGATATTAAATACGTCGACTGTGTCGGTTAACGAACTCATTCTAAGCTACGCGATCACTCAAAGTAAAATGAAATATTGTTCGTAAATGAGCCCAATCCGCAAAGTCTACATATAAAGTTGCTCTGATGCGTAGGTGATAAAAAGTTCAGAACGCGTGTAGGCACTTAACTAACTTTTTATAATGTTCGCCGACGCATCGACAGAGTAAAACGAAAATCGTCCGACAATCATATTAATTTTTCGTTCTGGTCGCGACCTGACCAGACCCTAAACTGCATTCGGAAGAGGCTTTAGTAGGGGTGATAATAACCGCGAAACCAGTGCAAATCCCAAAAATACCCGAAGAGTTATTTGGGTTTTCGTGATCATCTGCATGGATGTCTGCACATAAGAACAAAGTAAGCACCGTAATGATACACAAGCAGTTATGCAAAAAAATGACTCAGGAAGGTACGGTATAATCGCTGCAAGTCGGACCGCGCAAAATCGGTAGTCTGTAGAGGAGAGGAAGAAGATGAAGAAGAAGAGGAAGAAGAAGAAGAGGAAGAAGAAGAAGAAGAAGAAGAAGAAGAAGAAGAAGAAGAAGAAGAAGAAGAAGAAGAAGTGAACGGTTTAAGGAAGGTTGTGCAGTTGGCGGCGTGAAAGAAAAATAACAGCGTAGTTCTGTTTTGAACTTAAAGCGTATTGTATATGGGGTAAATTTGTGTAAATGCATGAATGAACATCAACACGCCTTTTCGTAGAAAGCAGTTGAAGGATGGTTTGTACAAATGATAACATGCACTACTGATAACTTATGTAATAGACTAGGAATTTTTAAAACAATGTGGAGTCGTGTGCTACGCGACAGTCCGCTTCCGTGATCACAAGCGTGATCATTTGTTTTTTGTCCCCCTGTCCGTCCCATATGCCCGGTCAGTTTGCCAATCAATTCTGCGCCGTTTGCCAACTGCCTGTAGGAGGACACAGTTCAAAAAAGGCCTGGAGGTGACAAAATTAAAATGGTTGCTGGTACTGGGTGGATGATAGTCACAATCAGGGTGCAAGGATTTATTTTTTTAAGGCAAGTCGAAGCCAGGTGCTACCTTTTACGTCTGAAAATTGTGAAGGCCCTGTGGCAGCAGAGGCGTGAGTGTTTGATTAACAAAAATGAATAAGTGAATTGTTCTTTTGGCTACCCTTGACCCAACCATGAGACAGGGAGGTCGCAAATATTGTTGAATGCGCCTTGTCCAACATGACAACAGGAGTTGTCATTTGGTGTTAATAGTCGACTTTTTCAAATGTTTTAGTTTTCCCTGCTTAGACGTGAGGTCAAAAAAACCGAGCAGTACCATATACGACAGGACTGTCTCGCCTTTCCTTTATCAAGAAGATGTTGGCGTTCTACCCGATCGTCGGTCTTAGAGCTAATTATCTCAATGACTTTCAAATCTCGTTTGATAGCTTTCTCGGAAGTACCGGTCATACCTCATATAGCAAATAATCTAGTGTTTCGTGAGATGACCTTCTGTTGCTGATATTATACTTAATAAAGTTAAGTCTTTTTCTAGTAGTCCACTGAGAAACATGATGATTGAGGTGTGAAAAAAACTCCTTACAAAAAGTTAAAAATGATTGGATTAATTTTACAGTAGAAAAAAACCCTCAATAAAAATAATGACAGAAAGATGCGGGCAGGACTGGCCTGTACGTAGCGGTATATAACGGAATGTTGTCGGTCATGGTCAGGGTAGCAATAAATCTCAGCCTTAAGGGGTACGTATGCGGGTCATACAGGACTGGCTTGCATGTGGTATTGTATACGGGATTCACAACTGACATCGTCTGGGCCGGTTTGATACGCCGCATGAGACTATTTGCGTCCAAGGGGCCAGACGAGAGGAACCTTGACGCGATCGGCCACAGCACGCTTCGAGCTCAGCCGAGCAGTGGGGAAGGGAGGTACGACCAAACTACTAGTAGACGGTGAATATTGAGGGTTTCGCCGTGAGCGTCGACAGACCGCAAGAGGTCGGAATGCGTGAGATGACATCAAAAACCGCGAAAATTGTCGCTATGGGGGAGGGGAGTGATAGCAGTGGATTTAGAAACCAAGGCAAAACAGGGGTTTCTAATGATATAATTAAGGGTTACCACTTGATCTACGACTAAATCCCAGGAGGACCCTTCTCGAAGTCAAGAATCTGAGTGTTCGGGAATGACACCGTTAATAGTGCGTTTATGCTTTCCGGTGTAAGCTGTTTGCGTAATTTCGACTTGAATACCAGTAACTTAGGCGATAATCTAATTTTGGGCGGAAGATTATTCCAAAGGAAGGCATATTTGGAAGCAAAGAAGATGGAGCGCTTATATGTAGTACAAAGAGGCGACGGAATCACCATGCAGGAGTTGCGCATGGCATAAGAACGATCTCTCGGAGTGAGAGTGTCAATAAGCGGAAGACTGGAGCCAGAGTTGATGCGAATCCCACTACTATGCAAGATATGCAGTTTTGACTTATTTGGTGGCCACTTTCTGCGTCTATCTGTAACCCTCCCTTATAGATCGTGTTAAGTACACTCTGCCACTACTCCGAATGTTAGTCTTCTTCAAAAGACTTCGAAAATATAATAGATAGTGCTTCGCACAGTTAACTGTGCGGAAGTTTCCGCAGTGCGGGTGCAGGTTTTTGCTCCAAACCAGACGATCTGGTGGGTTTCAAACGGATTAGTTCCACCCTGATTAGTGCCGAAGAAAAGGACAGTTCCTCCATTGAAGATGTAGAAGTGTAGGTTGCTCGTAGGACGGGTGAATTATAAAAAAATAACCGTAATCTCGAATGAAGACCGACTGGAAGAAAATGGATGGGATGGATGCTTTACCTTGATCATCTGCCTCCAATCTTCCATCCGAAGGCCTAAGAATGAGGATCAGCTCCTGTTTCCTTTTAGCGCTCCATACTTATCCATGTATGATTCTAGGGTATTTCGACAAATTTCGAAATATATTCGGTTCAAACTTACTTCAAAGCACCGTAGCTTCCCTCTTGCAATTTTTTTCCTTCCTTATATTCCCGTAGATGTCCTTCAGTGCCATTTAATCGAAGTGGTTTCGAAATGTGAGATCTGTTTGTTGAAAGAGTCCTGCAGTGCCGATTTCATGCAATTCGGGTGGTTAGTGGCGTTCTTTCCTCTGAGGGGACCGCGACTTATAACAACTGTCCGCAGAAATGAATTGGAGGCCCTCTAATGGTTATTTGTTGTACCATGCTCGTTAGTTTCCTATGGCAGCTTCAATATGCGCATTGTCTCATTTCTCAATGGTTTTCTCCCAACTATATGACGGATTTGGTTTAGAAAATATTTTCACTGATTTTTCTCTGTCCAGTTTTGAGAAGAATATCATACTCGGTGGACGATATGTCGCCGATATCGTTGTTGGCCGGACGTATTTAATGGAAATAACGATGCTTAAGAGATCCATTTCCTTTCGCGTATTATGTGCTTCGTAGATGATAATTAAATTACAGGTGATATAAACTATAACCCTCCCTCACTTCTGAAGTGTTGTTATTTTCTGAGATATATTTCGGATTTTGCAATACCTGCCGTAACTCACGTTTCTTTGAAAGCCATGACGTCTGGTTCTGTTTCATCAACCGAGCCCCAAATTCATTCCTTTTTGTTGTAAATGTTTTGTGCGTTTGCGATTACCCCTAAAACTGGCCGCGGCAGTGGAGATAGACCAACACGGGGCTAGATCGTATTCTGGGAGGCGTTATCGGAATGCCCACCATAAAAAATGGCGGCATTCCGGCAGTCGGAACAGGCTTCTCTTTTCTTCTGTAGCGCACATTAACTCATACACATTTTATTTAAATAACCGATGCTTTCTGTTCTTATGAACACCTTTTTGTCTCAGTTGCAGGAACCAGTCGCGGGAAACGAAAGTTTGTACCCGACGTTTCATGATCGACGCCCGATCTTAGGGTGTATGTTTTTCTTACCCAATTTGTCGACTTTCACTAAAATACCTCTTCTTAATTTGCATCCATTTTCCGACGTCATAATAAGGTAGGCTCCATGTAAGACGTGCCCTGTTGCACCATAAAGGCTCCATACACCCTGGTTACCTAAGTCGGTGGGGGGGGGGGTTATATGTTTCGCATGTAAGGGAATACATCACGGACGTAAGTGGAAGCTAAATCTCGAAAATGGGAGCGTCCAGCAGCACATCTTTGTGGTGACGGGGCCAGGGCGGGCTGGGATATTGGCACCCATGCCGCCGAAACCCACCTACCCCCTCGTAATTCTCTGCAGCTTCGCAGACTTAGAGGGAGTTAGGCGGAGCTGGTGCTGGGGTAGTTTGTTACCGAACTGACGTCTCCAGTGAACCGTTTATTGAGAATTAAAGTCTTTCCACAAGTGAACGCCTGTCCCACGTGGTTATACTCCCATTTTGGGAAAAATCGCCTCGAATATTTTCTACTAATATCAAAGTTGACGACTGGGTTTAAACTAATAGGAACTGTGGACTACTGCCCACGGCTACGACTCATAGCCGGGCGTAAACTGTTCAGGAACCAACCAGTGATGTCACTGCCTACCGGAACCCTAGGATACTGTGGTTTTTGGAAGTGATCATTTAGTGCTGCTATTTGCTCTTCCTTTTGACATCACATCATCATCATGCTGGTATAATTATGATAATAATAACTGAAATAAAATCTTCAAAAACTCGATGTGAAGTACATAAATAAATTAAATTTGATGTTTGAGACCGAGAAAAAATTCATCCGGACAGATATAGTGAACTGCTGATGTTTTGTACTCAAAGACTAGGACAAGACGGCCGCACATATCTTAGGAAACCGCTCAGATACGGCTTGATGACGAACTCATCCAAGCGTGAGATAAGGATCCACCAGACCAAACGACCTCCTCCGAGCCGATGACTCATGTATCTCGCAGGCCCCCCGAATATTCACGAAAATGACTAGGCAGCAAAAGAAGAGATATCGGTCCGCCACAGACCGACCAACTCGGCACGCCATTTTG